CCCTTGGGAGTTGGGATCGTCGCTAGGACACATAAAGCCACCGACGATGCTTTGCCAGGCGTCCTTCCACTGAATGCTATGTTGCTGGCCACGACGTTAACCCAATAACTCACGCTCCTTCATTTCTTAAAAAAATCTTCATCCACTTGTTTCTATCCACTCGTTCCTCTTTCTATCGCTCTGATTCGCTCGCCTGCCGCCTTCGAGCGCACGGTCACTGGACCTCTGAGGCGCACCGCTCGGCTACTGGCCTTGCCAGGCACGGTGCGTGGCTGCCTCCGAGTCACGGTGCTCGGCTGCTGGTCATGTCAGGTGTGGCACGTTGCTGCTGTAACAACCCGAGTTCATTGCAACCTAGGCAACCATTTTAATTTACCAAAAGAAGCCAGTCAGCAACCATCAGTGAAGACTTGCACCGTAAAACGCAACACTCGATATTGAGAACATCCATTCAATGACTTAGTCAATTCAGCAAAGACAGGGAATACCGGACCATCCACTAGTACGACGGACCATCCGATAAGAGTAAGGACAGAATAGAGCTAAGTGGAAATTAAGCTATTTCTTAATTATGGACTTGGACCCACATGTCAGCATGATTTGAGATACTTCACCAGCTAAAGGAACACCCTCTCACTCACCCTATCACCTATCCACTCATTTGTAAACACCCTCTCTCTACCTCTCAAGAACAAGGAAGAATCCTAGAACTAGAGAGAGAAAGGAATGAAGAGAAGATTGAAGGAGAAAAGGAGGAAGAAGAAGAGAAGCATCAGCACCTCTCCATGGATTCCATCAACCTCTTCAACATAGTCATGGTGAGCTCAAGAGAGTAGCTCCTATTTTGTGGATTTTCCCTAAAGTAGTTAATGTGTGGTTTTGATGGAGGTTGGAGATGATGGAAGCTTGGATGGAAGAAGAGATGAATCTTCAATCCTCAGGCTATGGAAGCTCTTGATCTCAGAGCTAAGGATCTCAATCTCAAGGTTTATCTCTCATCTCATGAGTTTTGGTTTAATCCCTAAGTCTTGAGCAATACTTAGTGAAACTAGATTATAACCTAGCCATAGTGAGCCTAGTAAGCCACCTAAACTACCATAGGAGTGTTTGTCACATGCAAGATGCACAACTCCACAAATCCAAGCTTGAAGCCTAGGATTTCCTTGGAGCATAGGTTTTGTCGCTCGTGTGATGGAGTGTCCGTCAAACCAACGGAGTGCCCATCAATCCGTAGGAAACCACTAAGGAACTTTATCCCCTGTCAGCTTAGCACAGCGGAGCGCCCGTCACCCACGGTGGAGTATCTGTTAAATTATAAAGAGTAGTAACCCAGTAACCCGAGAACACCTAGTTCATACCGGAGCATCCATCGATTGACCGGACTATCCGATGTGGATAGAGAACCCTAGTAATGCGTAAGTCCCCAAACCTATCGGAGTCTTCGTGAACTCCACGGAGTGTCCATAGATTAGTACAGAGCCAGATCAGAGACAACCCATCTCGGTAGGAGTGTCCGTCGGTAGGACGAAGTGTCCGCCAGTCATAGGAAGAGTGAGCTAGCTTAAGCAACCTACTCGATTAACCAACCTACAACCAAGAGAGCTTAGTCATACCCAATGCAGTAGTAGAGCCATAGTTAGATGTCTCTCCTTAGGTACTAAGGTAGTAACCTAATCCTATGCACCCATGTTCCCCTCATCGTTCCGATCATCGATGTATCCCTGAGATGATCTTCCGTATTCTTCTAGGAACGTGCGTGAGACTTCGTCATCAGCTTCTAGATGTTTGAACGGCAACACCATCAGGCAGGCACCCCACTATTATAAACCCTACTTTGGTTACTTACCAAGTTGCATTATGAGTTATGCATTACATGTAGTCTTGATAATGATCACTCTTATACTTAGCTTAATAATTTGTAGAAGACTCTCATCTAAACAATGGAAATGGGAACGCTTAATGCTTATTGCTTAGCTGCTTGGGCAATGGTAGAAGTCAAGCATGAGAAGGGAACTCATACTCGCACGTGTAGGATGCTACACCTGGATAATTAACTACTAAAACCAATGAGGATACAACTTGACTTACCTAACTAATCTGGCTAAGGACTAATATACCTAATATGGTAATCTTGATGATAACTTGGATATCTTGCTCGTGCGAGGGGTAGGTCACCGTGAGTGTGAGATCTTAGACGACATCGCTCATGGAGCAGTAAGGACCGTGTATTGGGATACATAAGTCTGAGTAACCACCCATACAAACCACATGTCGTGGATGGGGTCGACAAGTCAAGTAACTAATTGCGACCTGTTTATCCGTGAAACTAGCAAGGGGGCTGGCGTTGGTCAGGAATGTCCGGGACATTGACCGGGCAACCGCTCGAACCTTTCATTGGACACTCGTGCCGGATTAGAGAAAGGTCGGAGACATGAGGCAACCCATATATCTGGTGCACGAGATATGGAGGTTAGTCCTGTTTCTTCATGTGGGTACAGTTGTACACCTCTGTAGAGTCTTGAAAGCCGGTAGTCCTTTGGGACAAAACTATTCGGTTGTTCTTTCTTTCTATACCTATGGTAGCATGAGTAATGAACTATGAGCACCTTTGTTATAATGATAACTACCTTTACTTCTATGTTGAGCATAGCATGTCATACTCTTAATGAACATCATTGCTTTCCGCGGTCATACAAATACTCGATAACTACCCTATGCATCCACCAAATATTATATGTTGGAATTAAGTCCTGCGAGTACGCAATCTACTCAAGGTGCAACCGTTAAGTTGTTTTGCAGGAACGGTGTAGATCAATGGAGGTTGAATCTCTATCACCGCTGCCTAGTAGCATCAGGAAAGGGCGACCCTAAGTATGCTACATGTTAACTCCGTAGTCTTGTTCGAGCGACCTTGAGTGATTACTTTAGAATGGATTCTGGATCTTGTCCATTGGTTGGACCGGATCGCGTAATTTATGTAAACTCTACCTTGTAAGCTTTTCTGTATAAGTTGTTTGAGCATTATCCATTAGACTGTGTCGGTTTTGTATGTGAACTGCTGCGTGCCACTCAACCTCATCCTGAAGTGGAGTTGCTTAGTGCGCTCCTAGGGGCCTCGTGATGTCGTTTTGCTTAAATTGAGCACGTCAAGTGGATGACACTCGATTTAGGTGAAGTATCGCAACGGGCACCCCACAGACGCCCTTTCCAAGTCACACAGTCGTGGCCTCCCCACCGCTCATGTGGCCGATGCTTCCCTTCTAGCGACGTGCAACCACTGCCGTCGGCCCACCGTCTACAAGCGTCGCCGGGCCGCTGCCTCTGATGACCACCACACACCGATGAGCCTCCATTCTGCCAAGTAGCAAGAAGATGTTCCGCTGAAAATGCATGTTGCAAAGTATGTTTCAAATGTTTCAGAGGTATGTTGCAAGTGTTTTATATGGATGTTGCAAAAATAGATCGTGATGTTGCATATGTTGCAATGGTTGTACACATATGTTGCAAGCGTCCGTTTCAAATGTTCCATCTGCTTTTTTCAGATGTATGTTGCAAGTTTGCTTATTTGGATGTTGCATATGTTTCACACATATGTTGCAAGAGTATGTTTGAAATGTTTCAGGTGTTTCAATCTTATGTTGCAATAAATGTTTTCATGTTGCAATTTGCAAAAATCTAGATATTGCATATGTTTCACACACATATTGCTAGTGTATGTTGCAAATGTTTCATTCGCTTCAGGCGTATGTTGCATTCAAGTGTTTCATATTGCAAGTGTTTCGTGTTTTAGAGGTAGAGGTCTGGCGGACGGGGCGTGCTCGTCCTCATCCCGGCTCCCGAGTCTCGCCTACGTGGATAGAGAGGAGGGGGTCAGGGGAAAGAGCAGCGGGCGTGGGGCAGGGTGAGACGGACGGGGGCAGGATACACGTGTGTGGCAGGATGAGGCAGATAGTGAAGGACTGCACTGCAGGAGTCCGACGTGTTTCTACTGGGTCGTACCGTTCGATAGAATCGTACCCCATCAGACGTCCGGACGCCATTCCCTAAAGCCACGAGAAAATAGCGCGATGGATGAACAGATTCACCAAGTTGGTGGATAATGAACAAATTCAGATACTTAGTCCTAACGCTTGCCGTTTGTTTGATGTCGCAAATACCGAGTTGTTTATTGGATTGGCGTCGAGCAAAAACCGGTAGTCCAATAGGCATCGTTTTACAGGTTTGAGCTCGACGCTGCTTGGCGATGCAAATCCCGAAGGCCTGGAAATAGAGAGCCGGTCCAAACTTTGGCTTAATTGCTTGTGAAGAATACTTATCCGAAGGCGGATTGGATAAAGAGATTATCCGAAGGTTCAGATTGGGTGAAAAGATCAACTTGATTGTTTTTTTGTGAATTATTTATTGAGTTGAGTTGTTTGTTTTTTGAATTTTTATCTCTACTATAATAGACCAATCCAAACTATTTTAGATATACCAAACAATATATCCTTGCTAAGAGTCTAACCATTATACACCCAAAAAATTACACTTAGCATTTTAACATTATTATTAAAATCTGACTTTTAATTCTTTCTCTCAGGTTTTCTTGATCCTTTGATCTCCAGGCTTCAACGCACCCGCACCGCCCCCGCAGGCGCTCAGCCCCCGCACTCCCTCCGCGGGGAATCGAATCCCGCGCAGCCCTGCATCGCGAAAAAAAAAAATCCAAAACCACAGGAAAAAGGGAACGGCGGACGAGGCGGTAGCGGCGGCGGCCTGCTGGCCAGGTCCCGCGCCCGCGCTTGCGCGCTCGCCGATTGGGGCGACGGCCAGGGACGCGGTGATCAGGTGGTTCCGCGGCGAGTTCGCGGCTGCCAATGCGATGATCGACGCGCTGTGTGGCCACCTGGCGCAGATCGGCGGCGGCGGAGCCGATTACTACCCCGTCCTCGCCACGCTCCACCACTGCCGTGTCAACTGGTTCCCCGTCCTCCACATGCAGAAGATCTACCCCGTCGCGGATGTCACCCATCCTCCAAATGCAGAAGTTCTACCCCGTCGCGGATGTCACCTCCCTTGGAGCCGCCGCGGGGTCCCACTGCTACTCGGAGGAGGAGGCCGCGTCCACGGTGACACACGAGCCCATGGAAGACCTTCCCGCTGAGGCTGTGCCCAAGGCCCCCTCCACGGAAGATGACACCGTCACGGACGGACAGGTACAATCACTACCGACCCACAAATTAAATCCTCTCGTGCTCACGGGAGATTCTGTTGGAATGGATCACTCATCCTATGGTAAGGCTGTGATTAGGGTTGAAAACGGATTGGATACGGACGTATATCGCCGATATTATATTTGTTTTCATATTTATGTTCGGATTCGGATTCAAATACGGATAGTGTCTACCTCGCTGGATAAGATAGGATTGGGTATCGACATTATAAATATGTGATTTGAGTATTCAGATACGGATACGGTATCGAATATTGAATATCCGGACTCGGATACGGATAAATCTGAACTCCTTTAAACGGATTTGGTCTCGAATACGGTCGGAAAATATCCGTACTGTTTTCACCCATAGCTGTGATTTAATTTGTTTCAATCGGATTTGATTTGAGTGATTTCCATAGATTCTCTGTAGAGTTTGGCTGTTCTGTTGTGCTGTTTCTGAAAAGCTGTAACTTTAGAAATAGTCTACGTACTGCGTTTTCATTCAGAGCATCATTTTCAGATCAGGTACAGAGATTCTTCACTTCAGTGCTAGCTGATGCAACTTGTGCTTTCCTGAATATCTTGTCTAATTTATTCTCTGCATATGTTGTAAGTTCTTGTTCTGTTCAGCAGCAGATTAGTCCATTTGCAGCATGTTCTGGTCATCTCGGCAGGGAGCAATGATGGAGATAGAAGCAGCAATCTCAACCATCACTCCATCAGGTAAGCAGCAGGTAAAAGGTAGCACCTTTTCACCAAAAGTTCAGACTTTCTTGCTACTAAGGGTTTTAGGTTTATTTGTTTGCGAGATGTGATCGGATGCATGTGTTGTATCCCAGGCTTTCGATATTGTCTCAACTCATGAATGTAAATATGTCGCACAACCATAAACACGTGTGTGCTATGTGTTTAATAATCATATAAATGAATCTTCTTTCTTTTGATCTAGCTTCTGCCACGACTGCTCAGTTCATCAGAAGTATGTGTTGTATCCTGCGTTCAAGTTTTGAACTTTCCCGTGTCTTATTTTTGTTCTGGACATTCAGATGTTGTCATATAAGAAGGATGGAGGTCTGGGGCCTGTTCGGCAGGACTGAAAAATAAGCCAAAATACTGTTCCGGCTGATTGTTGTGAGAGGAAAATATGGTTCTCTCTGAAATCACTGTTCACATGAACAGTGATTTCGTGAGTGGGCTGGCCGGCCAGCCAGCCGAACAAGGCCCTGTCCAATAAGAAGAAGAAGCTGGTGCGCAGGATGAAGATTGCAGACCTCCCCACACATATGCAACAGACCTGATGTCGTAGAGGCTGCACTCTTCATTCCAATCAAGTGACCCCGCTGTTAGCAGTTTCATTTTTACTGATAAAAACCCACTACATATAGATCATCTATCTTCGTCCCATTTTTTAAGAACCGGATTAAAAACCTTCATCCTAGGAAATTCTTACATTTTTTTGCTTGCGGACAGAGGGGATAGAAGTAACTGCTGAAATGGATTTTCTCAGTCAGGAAAATGTCATGTTAGACTTAGAAAATAAAGCCTTGAAGCAACGGCTTGAGAATCTGTCTCAGGAACATCTCATTACTGCAAGTATTCCTCTTTATTGCCCCCAGAGTTTCTTCGATGACATTCAGAATGTGTCTTCTGTACTTAGGAATTGTGGTAGCAGTCAGGTTTCAGATCTGAGTTTGGTGAATAAATGAGCTTATGGATGTTATATATGTTATATTTTGAAAATGATTCTTGTGATGGACCTGTAGATATGTTAGGAACCTGTAAAAAATGTTTTTGTTGTAAACTAAGTGCATAGTTTCTTTGCTAAACATCATTATCTTGATAAAAAGACTACTGCAATCATCAGGAATATATTGGAGCTTATCAATCATCTTTTTAAAACAGTTGATTCACCAATTTTTTCTCGCCAATATTGCAGATCTGCAGGAGATGTTTGAGAGGGAAATTGGTCGTCTTAGAACATTGTTCCCGCAGCAGCAGCAGCAACAACATGTCGCCTTTGGTTCTCTGAGCTTCACAGAACTTGCTGCCCCCTTTATACCACTCTTTGTGGTTGTTAGTAGCATCAAGAGAGGAGCAGCACTGATGAACAGGGAATTTCATCCCATAGTGAAAAAAGCTGGAGAGGTTAATGACTGTGGATCTGGTCCTTAGTTCTTTTAGAATGTGCACCTGACGGTCATCTTTAGCTTCTGTCTATTGTTTGCAGATTATAATATGTTGATGAACTCTAAGATCCTTCTTAGTAGCATTGTAGATTGGGCTTGTCTATTTTTTTGAGTGAGAAATGACCAATCAGTGAATTTGTGTTTCTTTTGTGAGTTGATTTATTTTTTAGTTTAATGATTTATTTTATTTTTATGATTTATTTTTTCTAGACGACACTGTAGTGTCAGTACGGACAATATACTAGTTGGATTGAGTCCACCAGTTAGCTCCTCGACCACTACTATACTCCTACGATATGGGCTTTTGGATAGCTAGTCTTCTGTATCTTTTGTGTCTCTGAAAATCTGTTTTGTGCTGACTCTGCTGAGCATCGAGGACGTCAACTTTAGCAGGCCCCCTACTACCACATGTACTGTTGGCCCCCTACTTCTGTTGACCCTCTACTCCACTACCCCTACTTTTTCCCCTGTTTCTTCTCCGATCGAGACTCCACTCACGTGATTCCGCCCGTTCGTCCCCCGCTGGCGCACCCTCCCCGGCAGCGGCCCGCCGGCCGCTCCTCCCCGGTGCGGTTGTCCGTCGGCTGCCGACCACTCCTTGGCCGGCGCGCCCATGTGCTCCCTAGCGGCTGCCGGCGGCGCATCTACCCTAGCTGGCGCGGGCGCTGCTCCCTCGCGAGTGTGGCTCCCTTCGGTGTGGCCAGCCCCGACGGCTAGCCCTGGGCGACGCAGCCTACCGTCGGCGTTCGTCCTCCCTCCCCCTCTCGCGCCCCCGCTGGCTCTGCTCGTGTGTGCAGGAAGAAGAAGCTGACAGAGGATGACAGTCGGATCCCACATGTTATTCTCTACTAGGACGGATTTGGGGGGTCTATTTTAGGTAGTACTGCTGGAGCAAACAACGAAATATAGGTAGTATGAAAATGAGTGGATACCTAAACAGAGAAGTAGGGGGTCTGTTTTAGATAATACCGCTGGAGATGCTCTAAAGAGAGAAGAGAAAATTATCGAGAGTGAACTAGACTTTACAAATACACTCTTGGAGGTTTATAGAAATGTCCCTAGATTTAGTAATTACGTTTCTTTTACATACAAAGGGGTTCCAGGCATATACCAGCAATCTTCCCTCCGGATTGTCGCGTAGAAACAAAATACGTGATTTTCCTCAAAAAAAAAAAAACGTGATCATTTTATATGAATGAAGGAGAAATTTGTGACGAGCTAGACAGCTACCAGACCAGTGGATTTGTTATGTGGTTGCATATTCTCCTTGCTAGTCACCGGCATCGTTGCAATCTGCTGCATACGTAGTCAACTAATCTCCTTTCATGTGTAATCTCCTTGCTTTACGACATGAGGGAGGAACAGCGCTATAAAATAAATAAGCGGATAGGTCATCAGTTGAAGCGGAGAGGTACTGAATCGCTCACGTATTATTATTCCGCCACAAGCCGACGCAGGAGTCACTATTAAGGCTTGACCTCTGCCTTCCATGGCGATCTCAGCAGATCTCGCATGGCCGTTTCGTCTATATGCTATATATGATTGTGTAGCTAGTGCAGCGAATTCAGACTATAACGTGCGATGGAGGATGGAGTAATTATGAAATCACATGCATGGTGATGTGGCATACCATAATTGTCCTAAGTTTATCCTGTTGCAAGCGTAGTCAAACATGAAGAAAAAATGGAGCACATTAGGTGGTGTTAGTACTTCTCAACATAAAAAGAATGAAGTAGATGGATTGCACGCAACGCTAGCCCTCTTCCAAAGATGAAGATGTATATCTCATTTCATACATGATCAATAATCAGGTACTTCGAGAAAGATCAAGACCAAAATGAAGAGAATGCGCCAGAGAACAGAGATAGACCAAATCTAACCTGGTGATTAACTGGGGCCTTGGGATAACAAAATTACCCTCTAAAATTTAAGCTCACTAAAAAACTTGGTTTCAAAAGCGACCGTGTGTGGTTACTTGCTGATAATAAGCTTTTCCCCACACTCTGTGGTTACTACATAAGAGGGTCTTGACTCGGTAACTACTCCTATGGATCTCTCCCTGTAACAGAGTCAAGTTCCCTGACCGTATGGTACAAGCAATCCGTTCCCCTGCATCAGCTTCGAGTAGCATGGTGTAGAATTTCCTCTGTTAATTTCAGAAATATTCCTAATGCCAAATGGTTGAATTTGAAATGAGCATCATGGCTAGGAGCTATAAGGCAACTCTAATCTCATGGTGTAGAATCCAAATAATCTAGTATAGCTGTATACGACAAAGTGAGGACTGATGAGCCTTTAATATCGTAGGAAAGAAATGGACTTTCATATGTGTATTAGGGCTTGTGTATTAGGGCCTGTTTGGTTCATGCAGGTGTCTCATAAAATTCCTGTCACATCGAATATTTAGACACATACATAGAGTATTAAATATAGACTAATTATGAAACTAATTGCACAACTTGCGACTAATTTGCGAGACGAATCTTTTAAGTCTAATTAGTCCATGATTTGACAACATGGTGCTACAGTAAACATGTGCTAATGACAGATTAATTAGGCTTAAAAAATCGTCTCTCGCAAATTAGACTCCATCTATGTAATTGGTTTTGTAATTAATCTATATTTAATGCTCCTTATTAGTATCTAAATATTCGATGTGACATGAATTTTAGGAGCGACTAAAGAACCAAACACCCCTTTAGTCATTGAGAGCTAGAAAATGAAAGGTTGATTATTCTTTACTCAGAGCTCAGAGGACAATATCTTCTGGTCTTTTCATGGAAATTTGCAAGGACTTTGACTTGAATAGAAGAATAGTGGAAGAGCACGCTATCGTATTCCCTAAGGAATCCATGAATTTGTATAGGTCACATTCAATTGTTTTGGTCTCTCTTATCAACTGAATTTTTCTCATACATTTACATCATCTTCTAGCTATATTTACACGGTCTTATTACTATATTTACAATAATTTTTTCAGTGTAATTTATTGGACATAGTGATGTAAGTTAGAAATAACACAAATATATGTCAAATTTTTCAAAAAAAATTATAAATTATTTCTATGGGTTCCAGACATCAAAGAAATATATGTCAAATTATTCACAAATTCACAAATTTTTAAAAATACAAAATCTTCACAAAATTTTGAAATGCCGTGCCATGCTGTTGCCACCGACGCCGACATCGGGGAAGGCGTAGCGTCCGGCCTCGGTTGGTACTGCGAGATATGGTACTGCCACATCTGCTGTTGCTGTTGCTGTTGTTGCTGCTGCTACGGCTGCGTCGGCATGAGTTGCTGCAGCTGCTTTATCATCATCGCCGACGAGGTCGCGGCGGGGAGGCCGACGCGCGGGCCGTACCCCGGGCTGCACACGTGCCTTGGCATCTGTGAGTCCACCCAGAGACAAGACAAAACGTGATCGATCAGATCCAATGCTCGAAGGGCGGGGGCGGCGTGACGCAGGCGGTAGATCGGGCGGCAGCTCTCGGGCCGGAGTCAAATCCAACGCTGGAAAATTCGGTTGACAGTGGCAAATAAATCATACGGGTGACGTATAGCGTTTCCGAAACAAATAAACGAGTCCTCAGATAAATTACAATAGACCAGCAAGGCACGTCGCATGGAGATGGAATTCGAAGTCATATAAAGACGCAACAACGTCTTCCATGCTTACAGCAGCGCAACCATACAGGACAATTTGGTAGTGGTAGTAGGACTGCAAATTGCGTCCAATAATCAAACGGTTTCCGTGATTGATCAACAACGGCTGACAAGGGTTTCCTCAATTTCCCGGCATGCATACGCATTTCACATTGCTTAGGCCATGGCCGGCCAGGGCCAGCCCACCGTTGAAAGCAACGTACTTACTGTCTTACTGACATCACACAAGAACTAAAGACGGTTACACCGACAATTCGCGGTCTTAGATTTGTAGCATTTCGTTGTAAAGCTCCCACTATCGGCGACTTGGCGTTCTACTCGTCGATTTGAATTCAAATGCCCCAGCCAAGTCGTCCCACGTAACGAGCAGGCAACTTCCGCGGACAACGCCTTCGTTCTCTCTCTATATAATGGTTCCTTCAGCCACAGCTTAGCGTATCAAATCCTACATCTTGCACATTGCAAAGAACCTCGATCGTGCAGAGATACAATCTTGTCCATGGCCGTGCTGAAGAACCTCGTGCTGCCGGCGGTGATCATGCTGGTCATGGTGTTGTCGATGGCGCTCGGCTCGACCGCGGCGCGGCCTCTGCCAGGAGAAGAACTGCCCGGAGAGGCCGCCGTCGGCGACTCCATCGTCAGGTTCATCCGGCAGCTATATTGGCAGCGGCTCAACGGGCCAGGTCCCTCGTGTAAAACTTGGAGCCCAAACAACAGATGCCCACCACCACCATGAGTTGCAGTCTTGCAGAAGCTGACGCATGGCACGCAACCCAGCCATCAGTACATCAATTTGTCCTAGTAACTTGTTAATGTACGTACTTATGTAAGGTGTTCTTTTATTTGTTTGTTTTTGGAGGTCAGGGGCTATTATACTTCCCATGTTAAAATAACTCCCTCAGTACAGAATTTTAGGTTCATGACACTTGTGGACAAATCGAATTACAACCATGATTATATTCTACGTACTATATATATGGAGAGAATTTTACTTGTTTTTCTCATGTCTAGATTCATCAGAAATGTACTGTAGAGTAGGTGGCAGCTTGCAGGCACCAGCACCAGTGCATCATGTGCTAGGACGAGCAGAAAAGGTCAAAGAAGGCTCGTCAGCTGTCTCGGCTCGTGCATAATTTTGACTCGGTTCGGTTCAGCCCCTTGTTCCCTTGACGAGACAACTTGTGCGAGCTATTATGTGGCTCAATGCTTGACAAATATGACTATATATATGTCTATGCCAAACTCCAGCATTTACTAAATACTAATACTGTGACCTGTGAGAATATTATGAATTAGCCATGCCCTATGAATTTTCCTGTCGGCGCAAAAATCGACAAGAAAATTCGCATACCAACAAAAAAAAATATCTTTCTGATGGTGAACTGACCGAAAATTACCGACAAAGCTAGCTTGACAGAAAATTACTAGAATGACTTCGCCATTCAATCATTATGTCAAGTCTACGGTACTGATAAAAAAACAATTTTGAGCTTCAAACATCCTCTATATATTCTAATACTAATCACTAACACAATACTTGGTTCTTTTTGTATTGACAAAATCGGATATCATGTTGGATATTATCAATATGTTTAAAATAATGAGATATTGCTTAATATCATATTTGATCTCAACACTAAGGTTGAATTAGGTCTGGGTGACTTTATCAATAATCTAAAAAGAATAGCTCAGTAATCTTCCGGAGCTGTGCGCAGTAGTTGCCTAGTTGGTCTTTGCCAATGGGCGTCCATGCATAGATTAATTAGAGTTACCACTTACCAGCAACTGAAGTCACGTACTGCGGCCAAACTTGCAGTGTGTTTGGGAAAACCAACTGTACTCTTTCAAAACTTTTTTTTTTTCACTAGACTTTTGTGGCCATGAGCAAGCATCTGAGGAATTTGAAATATACTCCATTGAACACAAAATACCTCTTGTATTTAACCTTTTTTATAATCTTTGAAATACTCGTTGTTCTTCTACAATTTCTAGACAACTTTGAATCATTTTTTAGTCTTGACCTTAGCTTCCTTAATTGCATCGATCATTAAACAACTTCTTTCTCATACATGCATACTGTGCATCGGTGAAAGGACTTGGTGATGACTAATATAATCCGGTACACGTCAATTATAATTATTTTTCCAATATGAGCTCCCTTAATTGTTTACATAAGGTTAGGATCTTGAGTTCTTGACTCGGTGAATACCTAAGCCTGTCACAAAGTCACCGAGTCTCCGAGTCAAGTTCGATTCCCTGACCGTGTGGCACTTGCAATACAGAAATGTATTTGGCTCTTGAGTCTTGACGCCGACCTGTCATGGAAATATCAGTCACTTGTGCTCACCTTCTGCAGCTTGGAGCTGCGTTCCTATATGTCAAATCTCATGCTCTGGAATTTCAGAAATGCTAACCCAAATCGACGTTAGAAACAGACATCATGGCCGTGTAATTATGGACGGGGAACCAGAGAACCAGATCGAGGACTACTCACGTGGTATGGAATTGAAGAAAGTTTTCTGTGTAGAAAGAAGGTAGGCATAATTAACTTGTCCAATGTCCTGCGCCCTGGCACTTCTTATACATTTTTACAGCTTTTATCTGAAGAAAGTGATGATCCTTTTATATGTCACTTGAATTTTTGGAGCTTTGGTATACTACCAGAGAAAATGTGGAACAATTTTTCAATTGTTGATTGTTCTAATATAAGGGATGAACTTGAGACATTCATTTTACAAGTGCGAAGAATTGATGATTATAGAGCTTGTCATGATTTTGCAAGTTTGGCCATAAAGTTGGTTGAAAATAAGGCACACCTTGCTTTCCATTAGTCTATCGCATCATTGAGCTAGGATTGATTCTTCCAGTGGCAACGGCATCCGTTGAAAGAGCCTTCTCTGCTGTGAATATAATCAAGACTGATTTGCGCAATAGAATGAGCGATGAGTGGCTTAATGATTTGATTTTGTGTTACATTGAGAAGGAGATTTTTAGAGGACTTGATCATGAGAAAATTAAGAGGACTTTCCAACAATGAAAGATCGGAAGATGAGTTTACCATCTCCAAAACGGCCTCGATGTTCTTTGTATTTTAGGAAAGGTATGTCTAGATGTCCTTTTTAAATTCTTCAATGCATTTTTTATGATTAATGTCATTTTTTAATTGATTTGTCCATAAAACTGGCAGGTTCTGTACTTCATTTGTCTACCGATTGAAACATCTATTATTGATACTTCTATTATTAAAAGGTAACATCTCCATTTTTGTTGGTTGTTCTACAATTTTTGCCAAAAACATAAGTTGTGGTTGGTAACGAAAATTTTAAGTATAAGTCCGCCCTAGGTGAATTCTTCGGCTGCATTCGCCACTGACTCGTCACATCGTGAGATCTCAGTTCGGCAGCCGGCAGCCGTTGACTCGCACAACCGCTTGCTCACCCATCCGCTCTTTGACTAATCGCCCACGCGCCGTAGCGTGCTTGGAGAGTTCGTCCGCGCAGACGTGCGTGTCGCGGAGTCTCCGACCAGCGGAGCGTTTCCGGGCATCAGTTGCCCTTTCTGCCAAACATCCTTGTACCACGAACGCAGCAATCCTATGGTAGTCCTTCGCAACAGGTCAACTGCAGCTAGCGCGCGTCGAGGAAAAGCTCGCTCGATCCGGCCGATGGAGACGCGTCCGACACGACGCCCCGTAGCTGACGCCGCGCGCTAGAGGCCGCCGGGAGGTGAGGTGACATACGTAGCTGCGCGCGGTGCGACCCGGTCGTGGACGTGGGATCCTGGCGGCATCCAGCTAGTCAGCTAGAGCTAGCTATCCGCGCGCGCGGGGTGGCGCGGCCCTGGTCGTGAGGACATGCTGCACGCCCGGAGGCAGAGGGCACACCGGCCGGCGCGCGTCGCTCGATCGCCGGACGCCGCCCCCGCGATTTGCCGTGCGAATCGAAGACCGTTGATTCGGGACGGGACCGGAACCAGCAGCGTACATACGAGCGTCGCCGGGTGCGACGTCGGCAGCTCGTGTTTCGCCGGCCGAAGAGACTCGCTGCGTGTCGAGTCCAACACGTAACGCGCATCAGCATGGAATTTCCGGACCCCTCAGTACGTGCGTTTTCTCTGACTATGGTGGACACTGTGTGAACATCTGGACCGTGGACGCACTGTGCCGGGCTGGCCGTATGCCCCACTCCCACTGTTGTGATATAGAGCCTGGTCATTGGCCCACTGTACTAGGTCGGTCTTAGAAAGGCGGAAAGCTACACGCCCTTGCTTCTTCAGAACAAATGGGCCCATTGGGCTGTTTTCTAACGCAGTCGCTCTCTGTCATCTTTTATTTGTTTTCTAACACATGGGCCCATTGGACGTGGTATTTTCGTCAAGGGAAACCATTAAGGTTGGTTGGACGTGATATTTTCGTTAAGTGAAACAAGATAGAATGACAATACGACGAGGAGTACCGTGTAGAAAGTTTGCGTGCTGCGATTTTTCTTTATATATAGTTTACTCTCCATGATATGCTTCCCTGAATAAATAAATGATTGTCCTGTTTGTAATTTGTGAACAGTCATATTTGTATATACTAGTATATACCTGATGGATCCTTTATAGCACAGGGTCTCCAAAATAGTGCTTTGATCTAAACTAATTTATAAGAGGATAGGTTATTTTTGGGTGAAACAATTATATGTTGCAAATATATTGTTCAATCAACATTAACCTAGAAACTCGGTGAACAGATTCAAGGCTGTTTATGGTAGAGAGATTGAGTCAATGACAAACAAAACTCAATGGTCACAAGTGGAGGTACCATTTGTTGTTGGTGCATCTCTTGCTAAAAGAACTATAGGGAGAAGAAGGAAACTCAGAACAGAAGGATTTATGTATAAGAAGAAAAGTGCCAAAGCGAGAAGAAATGTGTCAAATATGATGAAGGTATCAACAAAGGTGAAGCTGTCAATGACTAGATTGAGGTGACAATGCTAATGCCGCTGGACAAATCTCGCTTAACAATTATTATATTGAATGAGTGGGTTGACCAGCACCACTACACAAAACTTTTGCGTGGCGTTTTCAAATGGGGCTATGAGGCGGGCGGCCTGGTTGCCCGCCTCGGTTATTCGAGGCTGAGCAGCTGGGCCAGCAACCGCCTCGGTTAAGAATGTAACGACACCGCCTCGGTTAATAGGCATTAACCGAAGCGGGCATTATAACACAACCGCCTCAGTTAATCATTAACGGAGGCGGTTACACTATACGGCCCGCCTCGGTAAATAATGGCCCAGCACACACACACACACACACACACACATACAATCAACGCGATTGGGCCGAGATGGGTTGCCTGCTGGGCCATTATTTATCGAGGCGGGCCATTATATATATGAGAGTTAGGGTTTCATTGCCACTCCCACTCCCACTCCCACCCCGCCCCTCCCAACCCCCAGCCGCGCCCCTCACCGCATCTCGCTCCCAGGCCCGTCTCCCTCCCTCCCTCCCTCCCGAGCAGCGCGGGCCACGCCTTCGTCTCCCTCCCTCCCAAGCGAGCACAGCGCGGGCCGCGCCTCCCTCCCTGGCCACCTCCTCCCTCTCTCTCTCTCTCTCTCTCTCTCTCTCGCTGCTGCCGGCGCGTGTGATGCAGAGGTGGCGGGTCCCCTCCCTCTTCCCGAAACTACCTCTCCTCCGGCGTAGTGCGGCGCGGGCGAGGCGGGCCAGCAGCGCGGGCGCCGGCGCGGCCAAGGC